TTCAGAGTTAGTCATTTTGCACTGTAGATACCTGGAGAACAAACAAACGTGATTGGGTTAGATGCCGACCTGCCCTCTCACCAACCACTCCCTCCCGGGGAGGAGGGGGTGGAGGAGCTCAGTTTGCTTCCAGCAAATTGTATTTCTTGTAAGGCACTGGGCTGTACCCAGGGAGGCGATGTAAAACTGGTTGCTGGGATTACTGTAAAGACTGGGTGCAGATACTGTTCATTTGCCATCTCTTTACGAGGACTCACAGGGGAAACTTCTTTTCGTCTTAGTAACAAGAGCGGTTGCTCTCTTGAGGAGTGGGCAGCACGAACTAAATGAGCTGATCATGTTTTCCTCTTCTCCTGGGATGTTAGAAAGTGTTGCAACCACCTTTGTGGTCCATCCTTGGTACTTTTATTTTATAGAATGCTTTTTTGTCTTTCCCTAGTTCATGGCTCCATTTTATGTCATGGTTACTAATATACTTCTGAGTATGCTGTGCGTGTGTACGTATTTACCTTTTTGTGTGCCTTTTATATATATCTCAACTCCTTTTTGAAATAAGTTCCCATACAACTAAACACATATTTAGGAGATAAGGCTAGGCGAGAGGTCCAGAGGTTCAAGGTCAAGGGCTGGGAAATGGGCACAGAAACCACAAAGGCCCAGGTTATTCTTGGTTCCTCTGGCTCCCACCTGCCTGACTTTGCCCGGAGGATACTGTTCACTGCTGGCTTCCCCCTGTAGCCCACGGTGAGGTTTCCAGACTGTAACCAAACCTCTGTCCACCCCTAGTGCCCAATCTTCCCACTCATCCCATTCTGTGGATCTGGCCTCCTTACCTCTTCTTGAGGCTCGGGTGCCATGACGTCGCTCTCTTCTGGAACTGCGGAGACGTGAAGCTGATCTTGGCTCTACAAAAAGAAGAGTTCTGCTGGTTAAGAGGTGGATCCACCTCCCCAGCCTCTCCCCAGCTTAGAAGGGTCTTCTGTGCCCTACACTTTACAAGGGGCAAAGACAACACAAAGGGCAAACGTACAGTGTTGTTTCACTATGGCCTGAGAGCATCGGGGAAGGCTTTACTGTCATGCTCTGTTACAGATCAAGAGACCCAGATTCAAAGGTGAAATGACAGGGAACCGGGTCTTGGGACTCCCGTTGTCTCCCTGATCAGACACTGTGTGATCCGTGTGACATGCATCTGTATATAAATCTATGTGGGAGTCTAGGAGGGTATACATGTAGGTCTTTTTTTTTTTTTAATTTTTTTGAACGTTTTATTTATTTTTGAGACAGAGAGAGACAGAGCATGAACGGGGGAGGGGCAGAGAGAGAGGGAGACACAGAATCGGAAGCAGGCACCAGGCTCTGAGCCATCAGCCCAGAGCCCAACGCGGGGCTCGAACTCACGGACCGTGAGATCGTGACCCGAGCCGAAGTCGGACGTTTAACCGACTGAGCCACCCAGGCGCCCCTAAATGTAGGTCTTAAAAACACTACCCACCACTTTTAGACTAACCCTCCTTGAGAACGCACTGCTGCTCTCACGCTGAGATGATCGTCGGCTGTGCCGGTTTGGAAAGGCCAAGTGGTATGATGGTTTCTTTGGGGAAGAGTTCTGGGTTCTGAGATGGGAACCCGAAGTACGGAAAGCCCTGTCCAGGAACTGCTAAGCCAGGGGGAGACCTTGGCATTCTAAGGTTTGGAGTGAATGTATTTTTTTAATTGAAATTTAACCTACACACTATAAAATTCACTCGCTCGAAAAGCAGGACCAACTTCTAACAGTCTGGGACAGCCACTTGGAAGTCTGTGGTTTCTCCTTTCAGGGATCTTTCTTCTTCTTCTTCTTCTTCCCTCCTCCAGTTCCAGGCTGTGAATTACCCCAAAGGTAATACTGCCTCCCAGAAAAGTACTATTCTTTCAGAGAACCTTCATTCTCTCTCAGGCGATTAAGCAAAAATATGCCTCCTTAGCTGAGGACTGAGCAATCCCCCAGGAGAGGCTGGGAGTAAGGAAATACTATAAATCTCAAACATAAGGAGGGGAGGAGCGGGGAGCAGGTTGCGTCCTATATCTCTTTCCCAAGGAGGACAGTGTTACTAGCGCATTCCTCAAAAATAGAGAGCATCTCGGCCCCTATAATCGCCCCTCCAATAAGATTACTCCAAAGAGGCAAACCTGTTTTATCCGCCAGAGCCAAAGAGGCCATTCTATTGCTGACCCCATACCAAAATCATGTAATATGTTACAGTCACACTTAAATTGATCTTGGACCTTCCATGCCATTGAATTGCTCTTTGTGGTGCAGGCAAGTGAAAAGTGGCTACACTTTACCCATTCAAAATCCCACGGTTAGCCTGCACTTATTCACCGTCCACAAGTCCTGCCTTTCTCCCAGTCAGCATAGCTTCCTCACACGAGAAGCCAACAAGGGGCAAGTTCTAGATCTTGCCCCGTTAGGACCTTCAGTGGCTCACGTGGATCAAGACCGAGGGCATAAGGGCGTTGATGACTTAGATGTTAGTACCTCAGGGGAGTCAGCGAAGCCCAGCTTCTTGTTCTCTTCCTTGTCTTCTATCTTCTTTGCCTTGTCAGACTCTGAAAAAACCTGTGGATCAAAGCGGACAATGTATGAGGAAGTCCCACGCCTTCACACCCTGGATGCCACCCTGGATGCTTTGTCTGTTAGCTGGTGCCCACAGTACTGGCATGGTGCCTATGTCCAGATACCAGGAGGCTCTCAAGGTAGCCTGGTCAGCCCTCAGTGAGGCACAGGCAGTCACGGGGTGGTGTGAACCGAGGGGCACCAGGAATCTCAGACTCCCAGATAGCCACGTGGCTCATGCCCCGGCCTCCTTCATTGCCCAAATGTTTCCTTTGGCCACTCCGTTTAAAACTGCAATTTAGCCGGGGCGCCTGGGTGGCTCAGTCAGTTGAGCGCCTGACTTCGGCTCAGGGCATGATCTCACGGCTCCTGGGTTTGAGCCCCGTGTCGGGTTCTGTTGCTGACAGCCCGGAGCCTGGAGCCTGCTTTGGATTCTGTGTCTCCCTCTCTCTGCTCCTCCCCCACTCATGCTCTGTCTCTCAAAAATAAGTAAACATTAAAAAAATTTTTTTAAAAAAAACCTCCAATTTAGCCTTTGCTCCCTGTGCCTTCCCCTACTTAATTTCTCTCTAGATCTCTTATCAACACTAAATTGTAATTTACTTATTTATCGTTTCTTGCCTATCTCCCTTATTTTCCCTACCCCCTAGTCACTAGAATGTAAGATGCAGGAAGGCAGAGAATTTTGTGTTTTGCTCACTGTAATATCCCACCTCCTAGAAGAGTGCCTGGCACATAGCAGGGACTCAGTAAGTAATTATGGAATGAATGAATGAATGAATGAATGAATGAATGAATCTCGGTGCCATCTAGTGAGGTGTCTCACCATAATCTTCTCTATGATGCACCTGACAGGTGATCATATATTCTTAGCTTTCAACAGCAAGGGACGGGGGCTATTTCTCAAGGTGGCCTATCCTATTTTGGTTTTTGGAAGTCCCTGTGCTTCCTACTCCCTATATTTGAAATGGGTTTTCCATATCATTTTTTAACAGAGCTAATCACTGAATATTTACCTGATATTGATCCAAAACGTACTTGAAAAAAAAAATTACACACAGTTCTGCCCCCAGAAATCTCATAGAACAAGTCAAATCTCTCTTTGATATGATATAGCTTTTCCGTGTAATTTGAATACAATACAACTTGACTTCCAGATCCTTTACAGAACTGGTCGCTCTCCACAGGTCTCTTTCTCTATTTTAACACAATCCTTTTCTCATCCATATCCTCACCTTTCAAAAGACCATCCCTTTTGCCTTACTTTCCCCTGTGAGTTCCTTCTTCTACGCCTCTCTCATCACAGAAGATGCACCTTGGAAATTTGCATTTTTCTTACTGTAGTCACAAGTATGATGAACTGGAATGAGACCCTCCTCCCTGTCCCTACTAAAAAATGTAAAGCTCAGTGTGCCAGTTGTATATTCTTTTTCTTTAAAAAAAAATTTTTTTTAATCTTTATTTATTTTTGAGAGAAAGAGAGACAGAGTGTGAGCAGGGGAGGAACAGAGAGAGAAGGAGACACAGAATCTGAAGCAGGCTCCAGGCTCTGAGCTGTCAGCACAGAGCCTGACACGGGGCTCGAACCCACAAACTTTGAGATCATGACCTGAGCCGAAGCCGGACCCTTAACCGACTGAGCCACCCAGGAGCCCCGCTGTAGATTCTTTACCTTGGGAACTCCCAGAACTTGGGAGCAAAAGAAAGAAATGAATAAGAATCTGTTCATAACAATAATAATAATATGAGAGATAAGCCCTTTGCAGAAGTCAACCACCCTGAGAGTACAGGTCACTAAATTAGTCGCTATGAATCTGTGAAACGATGCCCAGGACCAAAAAGGTGTCCGAGAATATCCTCGAAACTGTAACCTAATGACAGAAGATCTTATCACCTGGGGCAAGCTGACTGTAGTAAAGGTGATCTACATGGAGGATGTAAAAGGGAATAAAGACTCAACCAGACCCAATCTCACCTCAGAGGACATCAAGGTAGGGGAAGTACAAAGTTCTTCTGGGTTCAGATTGCCGATGTTCTCCTTTTCTCTGGCCTCAGGAGTTCTTACTGGCTTCTCTGGTGCCTGGGGGTCAGGAGAAGCCTCCAAGAGGGCCCTAGGACTGGTGGGCGAGCCCTGTTCAGAGGCTGGAGGGCTGGAGGGGAGGTTCCCCAAGGAGTGCCTGGGGCTGGGAGTGGCTCTGGGCGGAGGCGGCCTATTAGGAGGTGCGGAGGTCCTCTGGACAGGGGCTCTCTTCTTCGGTTGTTCGGACCCTTCACTTGAGGTGCGGGTTCGGAGGACCACTTCTGGGGGAGATGAGGGCTGTTCTGAAGGGAGAAGGGGTCCGCCTGGTGATGGAGGTGGGGAGCCGGAGAGCGCTTCCTCTTGGGACTTGCCGTCCTCAATGGTGGGAGAGGGCTGGGCCTGGGCGGGGCCGTTGCAAGCTGGCAGAGGCTCTTCCTCCTCGGAGGAGCTAGCTTCAGACTCTTCCACTTCTTCTTCCTGGTCTTTTAAGGGCTCTTTAATCTCAGCATCATCTTCTCGCTGGGCCAGATCAGATGCCAGCTCTTCTTCACTTGCTGAGATGGATTCCCCTTCATTCTTCAAAGCAAGCGCGGAGGGACTGGTAGGTGAGGTGAGAGGGCTGGAGACTGTGGATGTTCGAACTGGGGAAGAGATGACTAAAGAGCGTCTGCTGCTGCTAAAAAAGTAAGAGCGTTCAGATTCAGAAGAGCTGAGACCTGGAAGCAACCTAAATACCCCCACGTAAATAATGATGCATGCACATCATAAGAAAATAGAACAAAGCCATCTAAGATATGAGAAAGCTTGGGGACGGCCAGGGTGGCTCAGTCGGTTGAGCGTCCGACTTCGGCTCAGGTCATGATCTCACGGTTTGTGAGTTTGAGCCCCGCGTCGGGCTCTGTGCTGACAGCTCAGAGCCTGGAGCCTGCTTTGGATTCTGTGTCTCCCTCTCTCTCTGCTCCTCCCCCCCACTCATGCTCTGTCTGTCTGTCTCTCTCTCCTTCAAAAACATTAAAAAAATTTAAGACATGAGAAAGCTTGTATACTTTGCGATAATGCTTCTGTTATATGGTGCAAAAGAGGCTATAACATGTTATATATATCACGATCTCAATTACGTAAAAAAATATATAAAGAAAGCAAGACTGGAAAGAAACATAGCAAAATGCTGACAGGATGTTTTCTCTGGGGAAAAGATTCACAGGTGATACACAGTTGATTCTTGTGGACTCTCTATTTGCAAATTCACCTGGTCCCCAAAATTGATTTGTAACTCCAAAATGAACACTCACGATGCTTTCTTTTGCAGCCAGCCACGGACACGACGCGAGCTTTGAAAAGTGGGTGCCTGAAGGGCACTTTCCCAGCCAAGGTCTAACCAGGCAACCCTCCGCCTGGTTTTAGCTCTTACAACCGCAAACATGTCCTTTTTGCCATGTCTCTCACAGTGTGCTTTTCGTTGGTGATTTTGCTGTTAGAATGGCCTCCCAAGTATAGCAGTAAAGTGCTTAGAGCGAGACGACTGTGATGTGCCTCACAGAGGAAAAAATGCCTCAGATAAGCTTCCCTCAGGGAGGAGTTATGGTGTTGTGGGCTAGGAGTCAACAACAAGGTGTCTTTCAACAGAAACACACACAAGACAAGGTTACGTACTGATTGGCTGATGAAAATGCTAGGAGTGGGGTCTTATGGGAACCTAACTCCGTGTCTCCCTTAGGAGTAATGGTTCAGTATTCGCTAATCCAGTGGTCACGGTGACTTTATGGAACACAATGACCATGAATAATGAAAACTGACTCTATGTATTCAGTAGGCCGGACACTGTGCCAAGTGCTTGTATGGCCAACGTCAGCTTGAGTCCTCCTCACCTCAGGGGCCTCCTATGTACTGTCTACAAACTGATTAAGCAACCCACAGATATTTACTTGACAGATACCAATTATGTTGGTGCAAGGATGTGAGATGGGAATAGGCAGAGAAAGAGAAGAACTTCGTTCTGGCCTTGTGGCAGTTTCTGATGTGAGATAATAAGCTGAGCAACAGAGGTTATTTCTAACACCGACATTCTAGGGTCAGTAGCTTTAGAGGCCCGGGACATAGCCAGAAAAAAACCACATTTCCCTACGAGGTTCTGGGACATCTTTGTGTCAGTGATAGTAAGTTTCAGACAAATGGACCACTACAGAGAATTCTGTCTCTAAATGCTGAGAAATGGAGAAACAGAATTTTTGGAGCAAAAAGGGAATTCGTCTAGGAAATCTACATTGACCCTTTAGTGATGATTTGTAATCACTAAACAAATTGCTGTAACAGATTGCTAAATGGATAATACAAATAACAAATGTGAGCCTGATGCTTCCTTTAAGTCCCAAGATCAGTTTCACCACCTCCTTTAAAAGTCTACCCTGACCATCCCTGCAATGGCAGATACTTACTTCTCTGGAATTCCTACTGGTCTCATTGAGTACTTATGTGTGCAAGCTTATATTGTTCCTTGTCTCCATGGGTACATTTTCTGTCCTTTCAACTTTTGGTAAATCACTTCAGGGAAAGGACAAGTCTCCTATGTCTTTGGGTCTCTAACTCTCAGCATAAAACCTTGTACGTAGAAGGAATCAAAGGCTCCAGAATGAGAAAGTGATCACATTCTGAGGGACCACTGAACTGCTTATGTTTACCAGCATAAAGAATGTATGAAGGCAATAGACAACACACACACATACACACACACACACACACACACATACACACACACGAGAAGAAAGTCATAAAATTGAGAAGATATTTGCAATGCATAGCATTAAAGTATTAATATCCAGAACAAACACAAAAAATACCTCCTACAAATCAATTTTAAAAAAGGGTAAACAGGGGCGCCTGGGTGGCTCAGTCGGTTAAGCATCCGGCTTTCGCTCAGGTCATGATCTCACAGTTTGTGAGTCTGAGTCCCACATTGCGCTTACTGCTATCAGGGCAGAGGCGGCTTCAGGTCCTCTGTCCTGGTCTCTCTGCCCCCTCCCCAGCTCACGCACTCACTCTCACTTTCTCGAAAATAAATACACATTTAAAAAATTTTAAGAAAAAGGTAAGCAATCCAAGTGAAAAATGTGAAAACAAGGTTAAACTGGAAAGTCACAGAAAGGAACCTTAAACGGCCAGTAACACGAAAAGATGCTCAGGGTAACCAGCGATTGTGGAGTGTGAATTAAATTGCAAAAATTCCACTTCATACCCATTAGTTTAGAAAACTAAATAGGTCTGACAGTGTCATATGTAGCAAGAACATGGAGCACTGGGGGGCTTTTACTACTCCTGGTGAGTTGTAAATTCCAGCAGTCACTTGGGAGAGCCATTTGGCAATGACAATCCCTAGCAAGGCTGAAGAAGCCCATGCGCAGACTATGACTCAGCAATTCCCCCCCCCCCAA